ACTTTTACTTAAGTAATATTCCTGAAGGAGACTTTAACTTTTACCAAAGTAATATTTTGGTGAGATACTTGTACTTTTACTCAAGTATCACTTTGTGCTACTTTGTACAACACTGATTATTCAAGGATTCAAGGATATTTATTTGTCGTTCCCTCAAACACAATCATCAGATGTTCATGAAAGGTAACAAAACTTACGCACGTCCTGCTGTTCAGTATGAACAATAAAGTGAAAAACAGTATTGAAACTGAAATGTTTGCATAAACAAGCATTGACAGCTACAGCAGACAGTGTGCAAAATGATACATCTATACAACAGTAGCAGCAGATATTGTATTTTATCAAGAAACTGAAAGTCTACAACACCCCCAACCCTGTCACTAAAGCACAGCAGTTTGTTCAAGTCATTCTGGAAACTTTGAATTAAGACACATCCCACCCCCATAAACTACTAATCTGTCATGACAGRTAACATTTACATGACAAAAGATACAGTGAAAAGAAAAAAAAAACAGTATTRGATTTGTTAACTGTGAAGCAGGAAGGAGTGCTCGCCTGACTGTGACCTCTTGACCCTGAACTGGTGTTAAAATAGAACTGAACCATTTGCTTTAAAGTCACTTTTGACCTGAATTCTGTCTTATGTTTGCTTTCTTTTAGTCCTTCAATACTAAATCAAATTGGCTGACAAATTGCTTACACATTTCTTTTAATCATTTTTAAAGGAAATGTTTCTTTATTTATTTTTTTGTTTGACGTGTTTTACACAAGAATACTGTTTCGTGCTTGACAATAATTACAGCTATTATTATGATCATTTAAATTTAATGTCTTTGTTTCGTTTTTCAGGAAGAACTTCCCTCTAACTTGACTGAACTTATAACTCAAGTGAGACTAAAAAAGTAAACCTTTACACCTGTATGTAAAGTTTTAGGCAGAGGAAGAATTGTTACCTTGAAAGACAAAAACAATCTTTGAGCTGATTTGTTGCAAAAAAGCTGCATCTTTGGTGTGAAGATGCTGTAGTTCAGACCTGTGTTGTCTTGATCCCCTGTCCCCTCAGTGTTTTTTTTGTTGTTGTTGTTGTTGTTTTGTTTTGTTTTTGTCCTTATCTGAGCTTAAGAAAACAATAATTTTGCTGAAAATGTTTTTTTTAAAGCTTAGAGAATTAAAACAAATACATCCAAGAAGAAAAGCTTTTTTTGGGAGCTTGAAGCTGAATGGGAGTAGACGGTTGTTGAAGGACCTTAACCCTCTTATCAGCCAAAGAGCTCAGACCTGCTTCAGTTCTGCCACTCTTCAGACACCTGACCCTTGGTGAAGACCAGAGTCCCTCCTTGTGCTGCCCTCTGGTGCTGAATCAGCAGCAGACCTGCACACCGAGCTTACAGGGTCAGCCCCTCTCCTCTCAGAGGGTGCTCCTTTCATCCTGGGTGTTGAGAACAAGAAAGCATCAAGTCTGGTTAGAAACATTTTTAAGCTGATGCAAAATTTGATATAATCATTTCCTCGCTTGCAGTAATAAAT